TGAAACCGTGACCCGGCTGGGGCATGTGAGATACCAGTGACATAGCTTCCGGCATCACAGCAACACACAAGGCACCACAGGATGGCAAACTGACAAATTCACGTACTTTGGAGATTGTGTTAGGCAGGGTTCTCTAGAGAAAACCAGGACATTTATGAATGAATATATATAAAATATATATACACACACACATATATGTGCAGGTTTATACAGTGAAAAGAAATATAACAGCTAATTAGTCCATGCAGCAGTACAGGGGGCTCAGTTCAACTCACTTTCGTGGAACAGTTAATATACTGGAAGTCCTTCAACTCATGTAGGCTGCCAGGTCCCAGGTCAAGGACGCAGACAGCAGTCTTCCCTCAAGCAAGGCAGGAAGCAGAAAATATTTAAGACGAAACAACCTCCAAGGGAAGATTCAAACGATAAGGTGTTACATGTTAACCTCATGACATCAGCCATGACCAACTTGACCATGCTGTTTGACAGCAATGCTATTCACCAACCTTCGACGATGGTCGAAGGGGGGATTCACCAGAGACCCTCCAAATAGGGACCCTACCAATGGACTTTGGGCTTCTGCTTGTCATCCATGGCCTTTTGCAAAGTGGGCATTTACAATTTAAGCTCTGATACCATTCCCTCTTCTGGAGTCGGATTTTATGATTTAAATAAATTTATTTATTATTATTATTATTGGATCACACAGGTCTGCAGACTTCTTCCAGGTGGACTTAGCTGATGTCTCACTTAGATGGCTGCTAATGTGAAGACAAGCCTTTAAGACCGGAGACACTAATCTTTCTGATACTCTGGCACCATGTGGTTCCTTCCCCCTTGTTTGCTATTGTACCAATATTGCCAGTGATCTGTGTATGAGAGTGTACAGGAAGCAGGGCCCAGACATGCTTTCTCTTTGAACCATAGGGCATCTTACACATCCATCACGATGCAGGGGCCCATCTGAGGAGAATTCATGGTCCATGGGCATGGTGACACATGTAGTTTCCCATTAAGTAATAAAACATTTCATACCTTGTAAGCTCTATCTGCTTCCAAACTCTACCAAGGCAAACCTCTACAGATCCCAACAGATCACTATCCAGGACGAGGGTGTCAGGAGATGCTGTGAGATGCAAACATCTCACTGACGTCAGATGGCACAGGACTAGACAATGTTTCAGCCTCTTATGCCCAAGGTCACCGTGAGTCAGAGCCAACTCAATGACATCTAACCACAGTCACATCCACCACCCCCCACCACCACCCCACCCACCCCACCACCCGGTGAGGTTCACTGTCCATCGTACTGCATGGCTGCACGTCGAGTATCTATAGACATACCCAGGCTCCATCGTACCCACTCAGCCTCAGGGATTACATGAATGACACCGTCAGAGACAGATGAGCGCTATGAAACCCTACCAGTCTCCGACCTTAGTAAATCTAGCTGGAGGGCACTGAGGGTCCGGGACATTTTTCTTTTCATTTCTAAAGACTTTATATTCTGCCGATGAGGTTATAGAATTGGCCGGAAAAGTAATTTGTATAGCAGTTACCAAAGTGGAGCGGAGGATCAGTGTCGTCTTCTTTCTGAGGTTCACAAGGAATCAGCCTGCTCTTGTCAAAGCCAGCAGAGCTGCGTGGGCTTTTGATAAAGAGCTGAGTTTGGCCCAACGGCAGCACAAACAGACGTCTGTAAATATTGCAGAAGAGAGCGCTGTTGGTGGGTGTCGCTGATGTGTGGCTCTGGAAGCTTTTGTTGGCAAACGGAGCCAGCGTCTGCTTCTCTCAGTGAAGGGCGAGCCTGCCATGAGAGTACTATTATTCTTTTGTGTGGCTCAGGGAGATCTCATTCCACGTTCTCAACTCGGGGAGATTCTGCCCCTCCTTCCCCCTAGGGGACATGGCCATGGGGTTGCCACAACTGGGGCAAAGGAGGTATGGCTGGCTTGTAATGGGGGAGAGGCCAAAGATGCTGCTGAGCACCCCACAACACACAGGATGGCTTCCACCATGAAGAATTATCTGGGACATCATGTCAGCAGTATCCATTGCTCCACAGAGCAATTCTAATGTAAAGTAATAATATCTTTTTTGGGGGGTACAGTTTGTTCATGCATTGGTTTTGTTGTTTTTTTCCAACTGGTATCCCTGGTGGCATAGTGGTTATGTGTTGGGCTGCTAACCACAAGGTCGGTAGCTCAGAACCACCCGTCGCTCCTTGGGTGAAAGACAAGAGTCCTTACTCCATAAGGAACTAGAGTCTCCGAAACCCAAAGGGGCAGGTCTACCCTGCCCTCTAGGGTCGACGTGAGTTGGAATCGACTCAGTGGCAGGGGGTTTGAGTATTTATCAGGAAACGTAGTACATAGCTGCATGTCGGTGGAATCATTTATCCACTCATGTTCTGAATCGTTTTGTGTCCCTCTTCTGTGTCAGGCCGGGCAGGGGGTGGGGGTGCAGGGGGGCGGGCTTGAAGAATGTCATCAAGAGCTTTCCTCGTGTGTCCATTCCGGTGGGAAAGAGACAAGATTTTCAAACAAGTCAGCCAGCGATCAATACAAGGGTGAACCGCAGACTGGGGGCAGGGGAGAGGAACCCTGGGTGGCATAAGTGGTCATGTGCTCAGCTACCCAAAAGGCTGGTGGTTTGCATCTACCCAAAAGCACCTTGGAAGTGACTTTCGGAAAAGCAGCTACTGAGCCCCCCCTGCGGAGCACAGCTCTATTCTGATACCCATGATACCCACGGGGTGCCCGTGAGGGCAAACGAGTGGATGGCAGAGGGGCTGGTTTCAGGGACAGACAGAGGATCGCCAGCGGAGGGCAATAGGCCTCGTGGGAGCGAGAGTCACCTTACTCTGTTTTATGTATAAAGCAGTTACACACACATGGAGCCCCGACCCAGACAGAGAGTGGATCTGTGCTATTAGAGTCCCACGAGGGGGTGCCTGGAAATCAGAAACCCTAAAAAGGACCCTTACGTGGGAGAAGACTAGGAAGAAAATACCTAAAGCACAGCAGGAGCAATTCATCAGGAGCAATCGTAAACTACACATCCTGAAACACGGCTCTCTGTAAGCATGCTACTTTTCCACCAGAACACAGCCTCATGCATCTGTGCACTCCTCACAATTCCCTACAGTTTTCCCTCACTCCAGTCTTTTTTGCTCCTCCTTAGCCTGAGTATAAGCGCTGTGAGCACAAGGAATCTCGGCCGTTCTTCACCATGGAATTTTCCATAGCTGTCTAGTGGCTACTCAGTAACTATTTAGCGACTCCATTACCATTACCACGTAGAAAGTCCTCTTGCTTCAAGGACTCACTGGGGTTAACGGGGACCTCCCCCCACCCTACCCCCGCCCTTGGATCTCAGCCCTTGTTTTAAGTATACCAGATTTGCTGGCTCCATTCTGGGTACTGAATTTAACTCTACGTCCCCTTCATTGCACAAAGACAAGTGAATCCCATAGCCCAGGCCTTGACTATCCCTACAGTCTCTCTTCTCTGACCTGAGAACCCAACCACGGTGCGATCCGACCTCCCCCGTGCACTGGGATAGCATGGTGAATATCAGATGGACAGCTGACACGTTCAGTTAGAAATGTTCCTAGGGAAATTATAATGATAGTCAATCATCTTGGAAATTTACACAACAGGAGGCATGCGCGACGGTCTGATTTGGTTTAGTCAGAAATTGAATCATGGCGAGATTTGCAATGGAACAATGACGGAAAGGAAGCAGATGGAAAGGTTAATGATGTTACTCACCCCTGGGAAGTGAACTCTTCACTGGTTTTCTCATTATGCTTTGGGTTAATTTATGAATTTCCAGTGATGAGAAAGCCATGCTCTTATAAGAAACAAGGTTGGCTGGTTGAAGTTGGGTTTCTAAAGACCATGTACAATAATGCAGTACCCGAGAGGATTAGTGTATCTGTACTCCAGGGCTGGTTCCACTTGATTCCACCTCGACCCATCCCAAAGGCTTTGAGGGGTGCTCTCTGAGCATAGAGAAGCCATCAGATTTCACCCACTTAGTCCACTTGTGGCAAGTCCCACTAACTTCATTACCAGGTGGCCAGCCACTTTCTAATCCACAGAATCTAGGGTTGAGTGATCTTTTTCAAAGGTGTCCACAATGCTCCTCCTCCCACGCACCCCAAAGCACTTCTACTCCAAGGTACCTCACTTTTGAAATATGCAAAAAGATACTGTCTCCCAAGTATTTAGAAATAAATTTTAGGGTCTCATGGCTCCCAGAAGTCAAAGTTACAGAATCCTGACTTCGAAGGGTCCCTTCCTAAAACCTAGGCCACATCTCATCACTGTCTACCCTGGAGAACCTACTACAACTGAACTCCCAAACACCCAAACCATGCCTCATCCCGGAGAAATTTCTAGAACCTGTCTTCTCTTAGCAATGTCCACCTGAGCCGAAACAACCAGTACACGCGTTATATCCTTGCCGGTTACCTGAGGGGCTCTCCAGCTTGTTGTGACCCAAGAATGCTTTCTAATACTAGAATTTTTGACAGGTCACTAAATGAAAAAACACCACCCAGCAGTCAACCCAACCATCTGGCAACAGTGACCACCTCCATCACAATTGCTGCCGCCGTCTTGCAGAAACTCAACAGTATCTGCAGTTGACACACAAATCATTTTAGCTCCGAGCCATTATCACACGCATTCAGAAGACAACATCAGGCATGACCTTGGAAACCACGCACAGGCTGCCTAGACCATAGCGGATTTCACACATCCGTGAAAATGGGCTGGCACGTGGGACGGTGAGGCATGTCGTTTGACACTAGGTAACAAAGCATTTCTTACATGGGAAGCCCTGTACTGTAAAACAAGGACTCTACGACCCGGTGTGAGACAGACAAACATGGAGAAAAATCACTAAGTCAAAGATGGTATCTGGTTGCCCCAAAGATAGCTGGGCGTATGAAAAGACGCCTTCCCTGAGGTGAGGGGAGTCCCCATTCTTACCTCCTCCAGAGCCCATAGCGAGTCGACCACAGGCATGATCTTCTTCTGGTTGTAGAGCCCTATGAGTTTGTCCACCACTCCCCGGACGAGGCCCGCGCGGCCCTGCTTGAAGAGCAGGTTCAGAAGGGAGAAGCCGGCCATGACTTTGTTCTCTTCGTACAGCTTGATGGGGTTCACCTTCTCCACCTGCCACCACTGCAAGCAGAAAGGGCAGGAGGTGACCAGGAACCAGACCTCGTCAGCAATGCCCGGGGTTGGGGGGTGGGGAAGATGGAGCTACAACGAGACAGAGCCCACTTAGCTGTGTGACTTCAGGCAAACCACGTAACCTCGCTGTGCTGCTGTTTCCTCACTATGTGCTGCGGGCTCATCCTGAGGAGGTCCTGTGTGAAGGCCTCCCGAGGTGATCTGGAAATGTTAACTCCCTTCATTGTCACCTTAAGTCACCAGGGATGCTTTTAATGAAACAAATACGTTTTCTGGGTCAGGAGTGAGGTTTAATCTCTAAACGTTAGCTTCACCTGTTAAGCGTCGTCATTGTTCCCAGTCTGAGTGCAAATGGCACATGTGACAAAGGAGACACACAGGCTCGGTGGGAGTTTTGGGGAGAGGGCAATTAACATAAAAGAGCAAGACATACTGCTTTTCAGTGTGCCTTAAACTTCTAAGCCTCTCTTTAATGTAGACAAGAAAGTGTCTTTCCAGAACCTTCCAAAACAAATCACCATCCCATTCCTTAGCATGAAAGATGCTCTCTCTCCATTTATTTCTAACTGGCCTCTCAACATGGAACCACCGCGGGCTCCTATGCATGCTAGAAGACAGTGGGACTGACCCTGTGGCTTTCCAAACCTTTTACAAGAACAAAAAACCTCATCTTTCTTCCGCAGAGAAGGTGGTGGTTTGGAACTGCTGACCTTGCGATCAGTAGCCCAACATGTAGCCCATGACACCACCAGGGCTCCTTGCGCCTACAAAGCTGTCTGTGTGGTCTGGTCAGGAGCGCCTGTCTCGGGAGGGGACCCTCGGCCTTCCTCACAGCTCAGTTTTCATGAATGCCTTCACTGGGTGAGGACACACACTGCAATTATTTTGTTAACACTGCATGTTGTGTTTGCACATTTACGGGAGAAAGGGAAAACACTTCTAACAATCGTATGTAATTGGAGACCAATTTGGTGGCCCACAGGAGTCTGTCAACATCCTGTTAATTACAGCTGAAACAACCAAACAGCTGTGAATGGCACAAAGCCTGAAGGGCGGGGACACACTCCCTCCCTGCAGCACCCTGTCTTAATCTCCTTCCCTGCCCCACCTGGGGCTTCTGCTGCCGAGATGATTCTGAATTTGGGCCTTCAATAGTGCCTGCAGAGGGAAGTTCTTTAACATGAACCTCCTAAGGGGCTGGGTGCTACCCACTGCAGAATGCAGGCATGTTAGGCTGGGGGAAGCTTTTAGAAGCCAGTGTAGCATCTGGCAAATGTTCGTTGACGCGATCAAGTGAGTTAATCAGATGCTCACTTGATCTGCGATTGAGAAGTCACATCCCTGGACACTTGTCCCTCCAGGGACCTTCTCCGATTGACATGCTCACCTAGAAAACTCCACGCACTGCCAGCGAGTCAATTCCCACTCAGGAGGATCCTGTAAGACAGGGGTCCTCAAACTACGCCGGCCAAAAACATTTATTCAGCCCGCCAGGTGTTTTTGCCCCATTTTGGTTTTTTACTTCCAAATAAGATCTGTGCAGTGTGCATAGGAATTTGTTCATAGCTCTTTTTTTAAAACTATAGTCCGGCCCTCCAATAGTCTGAGGGACAGGGAACTGGCCCCCTGTTTAAAAAGTTTGAGGACCCCTGCTGTAAGACATGGTAAAACCGCCCCTGTGGGTTTCTGAGACTGTCACCCTTTATGGAAGTAGAAAGCTTCTTCTTTATCTGGTGGATAAACTGGTGGTTTCAAACGGCTGACCTTGTGGCTAACAGCCCATTTTGTAACCAGGATGCCACCAGGTCTACCTTAGCTTACCTCTAGCCAGAGACCTGGTGGTATAGTGGGTTAACACACTGGGCTGATAACCGCAAGGCCAGCAGTTCAAAACCACCCGCTGCTCTGTAGGAGAAAGATAAGACTGTCGAGAAAGGGGAGATTGTTGACGACAGATGGCAGCCTTGGTAACCCACAGGGGCAGTTCTAGCCAACTCTAGGGGGTCACCAGGAGTCCAGAGTTTTCTAGCTCTAGGTGAGAATGTCAATCTGAGAAGGTCCCTGGAGGGACAAGTGTCCAGGATGTGACTTCTCAATGGCACAGCAAGTGAGCATCAGTTTAAGGCCCTGATCCTCTAAGGTTGTGGGTGACCAAGCTGTCCTACTGTGACCTACTCAAATTCAAACCAGATGCACTGCCATCCAGCTGACTGCGACTCGTCACCTAAGTGTGCTAAAGTCATCCGATGCCCTGTCTTTTAACAAGTTAGGGAGTCAATAGAATCTCAATGATCCCAGAGACCTAGCTGTAAATCTTTATCAGCCTCCCCCCAAGGGCAAATGAAAGGCAGTAGTGCTCAGTTCATTTTTGGAGCCATGATTACAACATCCACTACTCCAGTCATCCCTGCTGCACTTCACTGCTGCTCCACGGGCTGTCCAGTCATGGTTCTTTCTGCCCATTTGTCGTGGAGAAAGGCAGGACGGAAGCTGCGTGACACATGCATGATGCAGACGACGGACAAACACAATGAGGTCTATGAGTCTACGGAGGGAGCGCTCCTGTCTCATTGACGGCCGGCACCGATACTTACCGATTTCGCAAAGCTAAAGAAGCTCTTGGTCTCGCCGGTCACCATATTGGACGAACCTGCAAATGGAAGATTCCCAGATCAAAGCTATTGCCAACAGAAACCAACATCTCTTGTTACCCGAGGAGGCGTGGCGGTTGTAGGGTCCATCACTGGCACAAGCTTGAAAGGGCATTGAATCCAGCCTCGGAAAACGGAGAGCAACCAAGGGGGGCCCACTGGACTATTGCAGTTAGGGGTCATGGGAGCCAAGAGAGAGAAATGTTTCTCAAGGCAAGGAGTTCACCACTGTGGGAAACAGGGCACACAGGAAAAGGATCCTCTGTGGTTCGAGCAATGTGTTAACCAAATGATGAGCTGCCGAACTGTCTTTCGGGTTCTGTTTTTGATCACTGAGGAATCCAATGTGAGCCTACTTGCGGTATCTGAGTTCCCTTCTCAGGCTCTGGCCTGGACTGGGATTTTGGAAGCTGGGGCTGGCTCTTATGCGGGGAAGGGGTTGAGTTTACCTACTCATAGGTTAGCCAGAGTGAATATCCTTACATCCTTTCCCGGTCTCTCGCGGTTTCTCTTATTACTGATTCTGATAGACTCAAATCCATCTGTGAAGATTCCCAATGATGTGGCCCCAACTGAAAATCTCACTACCATCAAGTCTATTTGAACGCATAGTGACCCTATAGGACAAGGCAGAGCTGCCCCCGTGTTGAGTTGGACAGAAAAAAGATTTCAGAAGCAGGTAAGTGAAAGTGAAGACAAGTTCAGAAGCCAAGGCATTGGTGTGACTTGTGACTCATCTCCTCGGACACCAGGCTGTTGTCACGAGTGGGGGTCGAGTTTGTTGTCACTGTCAGGGACCCCCTGTGTGCAGAGGAGAACTGCTCCCCAAGGTTTCCAAAGCTGGTGTTTTCAGAAGCAGATCGCCAGGCCTGTCTTTGGAGGCACCTCTAGATGGGTTCCAAGCACCAACCCTTCTGGTCAGTCATCTAGTGTCCCACCAGAGATGTGTGACACCCAGGGATGTCTCAACAAACAAACAAAACCCAAATGTCATGGACTTGATTCGGACGCATAGTGACCCTAGAGGACAGAGTAAAACAGTCCCTCTGGGTTTCCAAGGCTTCAACTCTTTACGGAAGTAGAAAGTCTTAGCTTTTTCCCATGGAGGAGATAGGGGCTTTGAACTGCTGACCCTGTGGTTAGGCGCCCAACGCAAAACCCACAACAACACCAGGACTCCAAAGATGTCTCAGCAGACAGGTTCGAGCTTCTTGAAACAGGTGGTGTTGGTGTGGCAGTTACATAACCTCCTGCTAACTTACAAAGAGGGGGAGTCTAGTCTGTCAATCAGGTTGCAGCTTGATGACCTCATTTGGAGGTGTGAAGGAGATAAATAGCTTGCTGAAAGTGGGACACAGACACTCTCCCTATGAGACATTCCTGTTGACAAGCCACATGGAGCTACGCTGACAAAGCCAGAGCCCTGAAGCTGGAGGAGCCACGTCGAGGCCCACACCAGCCCTGAAATACTTCTACCACCACTGGATCCACAAGACTTTGCACCCACTGGCCTATGATCTTCCTGCATTCAGTGTAATTGCAATATGTTGCTTGAGTCTGAAGAGGAATTTATAGATTGGTATTGGAAATATGGGCTAATATCGGAACTATGGACTTGATCTGGATTAGGCTGTTTCTTTTTTTTTTTTACAATGGCCTTAATTAGACTTAAAAAAATTTTTTTTTGTTTTTAAAAAAATTGTTTTATTAGGGGCTCATACAACTCTTATCACAATCCATACATACATCGATTGTGTAAAGCACATTTGTACATTCATTGCCCTCATCATTCTCAAAACATTTTCTCTCCACTTAAGCCACCGGCATTAGGTCCTCATTTTCACCCTCCTCCCCGCTTCGCCCACCCTCATGAGCCCTTGATAATTTATAAATTATTATTTTGTCGTATCTTGCCCTGTCTGACATCTCCCTTCACCCACTTTTCTGCTGTCCATCCCCCAGGGAGGAGGTGATTGTTTCTTAATATACAATTACTCTTTTATATAAAGCTCTTTCTTATACACATATGAGTGTCTATGAATTTGTTTCTCTAGTCTACCAAGACTAAGATGGTTGGAAATTGGGATCCAAAAATGGAAGCATCGCTATTCAGAAGGCAGCTGGGAGGGGAGTTGGGAAAGGTTCTTTAAGAAGTCCCCGTGGGCAGAGCCGGTCCCTTGATGTCATCTTTGGGGGCACAAGAAAGCTCTCTGGGGGGAATATTTGATGTCACAGTGATGCCTTTTCTGCAGGCTTCTTGCCTAGTCCCCAAATATTTGGGAGAAGATTCCTTCTCAGAGTATTGTCACTTAATGGAAAATCAAAAGCCTATTTGTTAAGCTTAATTAGCCGGCTCAGGTACGTTAGCAGGCAGTTGATAAACCAGGTCTTCTGTTTTCATGGGAAGACAGCCGAGGCATCTCAGCACCAGGCTTCCATCACTTGTAACCAAGCAATCGATAGAATGAATTCGACACTTTTAAGCCAATCCAGTTTAATTCCACCAAAATGACACCCTGGAACTGGAGCAAAATTAGAATTTCTGATAGATAATAAATTAAGGATGAATAACCCATCCATCTGCACTTACTCAGCTGTTAGCCAGCGTCAATAACCCTACATACTTGCCCTGTCTCTCATCATTTGTCGTATCAGTGATCATCATCATCAATCTATCTGTGAGGGTTCTCAGTTATGTGGCCCCAATTGAAAATCTCACTGCCATTGAGTCTATTCTACGACCTTCCTAAGGCTGCGACCCTTTCATACAGTTCCTCATGTTGTGGTAGCCCACCCCCAGCCAACCATAACATTATTTTCGTTGCTACTTCATAACTGCCAGTTTGCTACTGTTATGAATTGGGCGACCCCTGTGAAAGGGTCGTTGGACCCCCAAAGGGGTCGCGACCCACAGGTTGAGAACTGTTGGTCTAGAACAAAGGGTCGCTTTTCTATCTATTTATAAAAGGACAGTGGTGCCCTGAAGCTCAGAGACTGGTTAACCTCATTATCGTTTGGCTTTGGAATATGACATGTAGTTACAGATAAGCCTTTTTGATTTTGTGAACTAGTATTCACATTAGTTTGCAAGCTGCCTTGGCGCCTTCCAGCTGGTGTAACAGGAATACCAGATGTGGGTGGCTTTAGCAAACAGAAACGTGCTTTCTCGAAGTTTCGGGCTAGAAATCTGAATTCAAGACACCGGCTCCAGGGGAAGGCTTTCTCTGTGCGCTCCGAGGGACAATCCTAGTCTCTTCCAACCCCTCTCCCTGGGGCCCTTGATCTCCACACGGGATCAATCCTCCAGTTGTGCTTCCTGCTTCTGGCCGAATCTGTTTTTTCAGAACTCAGAAGTGGTTGTGCATAAGACTAGATAAGGCCTTACTCTGCTAACAAACCAAACCTTATTCACAAATGGGATCACCTTCCCAAGGGTAGGGGTCAGGATCAACAGCACGTAGTTTTGGCGGACACAATCCCATCCATCACACATGCCCATGGCAGAAGGGAAGAAGAGAGAGCGGTGCCTCTGAAGTCTAGCATGTCAGAGAAAGCCTGCCCCCAGCTGGAGGTCCTAGCCCCCCCACGCTTCCCCAGACCCAAGGGCACCAAAGGAGAAGGAGAAGCAGGTAGGGTCAGGCATCTGCTTCTTCCGTTCAGGGTTTCTGTGTAGACTGGGACACATGGGGGTGGGTTAGACCCTGACATCTTAGTCTCTGTTCTAGCGGGAGCTTCTCACCCCCTCATTTTCTGCACTTCCTGTGATGTCATTCATGTTTCCCAACAGCATCCCGGGCTATGGGCCAAGTCCCTTAGTAGTTCTGCACACGTTGGCAACAGCGTTTCATCTCTTTTGACATCGGTGGTCTTCATGGGGATCGGAAGACACCTATTTCTACACTGAAAAACAACTAGCAACAACATTATAGAGAATGTGAAACCAACCTGCACCCTCCACCCCTCGCGTGTCCTTGTTTAGGGGTTTTATCTGCAGGCACACTTGCCATCGCCCCAACCACGGGCCGTGGCCCGGCTTCTCCGTAGCACTCACCGTATAAAATGTAGGTCCCCAGCGGCTTGAGAAGGCTGAGGCCTTTTCCAGTGTTGTCCCCACACAGGCAATCCAAAACGATGTCCACGCCTTCTGCAGAGATTCTACGTGGCAAGAAGAGAAAGCAAAGTGCAGTCACCAGTCAGGGCCCAGACTGCCAGGCCCCTTCTCTGCCTTCCTCATACCACGAAGGCTCCAAAGAGGCAGGAGAGAGGCAAAGCCTGGGAGGTGGAGTGGCCTCCCGACTCCAGCTGGATTGACACAGTGGCTGCACCGAGGGCTCAAACCCAGGAGGCCTTGTGATGATGGAATAGGGCCCGGCGGTGTTTCCTTTTATTGCTCACAGGGCCACCATGAGTCAGAATGGACTCAGTGGGCACCTAACGACGATGATGATGATGATGATGACAAGGCTCAGCTCTAAGGATTTCACCCAGTTGGAATCAGCCAGAAATCTGGCTGCTGGTGGCTATCAGGATGCACCCGGTAGCAGGGCAAAGAGCGGAGGCATCAGATCAGATGGTCCGAGTCTGTATCCAGATAACTCCCTTCACTTCTCTGAGTTATCAAGTCCCGAGGGCATGGCCCCACTACAGCCGACTGCAAAAGCTCATGCAAGCTTAGCAGCTCTGCTTCCAGCCTCCTAGAGCACAGCATAGTGCAGTGCCTCTCAGCCTTCCTCATGCCGCGCCCCTTTCATGCAGTTCCTCATGTGGTGGTGACCCCCCAACCATAACATTATTTTCGTTGCTACTTCCTCACTGTCATTTTGTTACTGTTATGAATCGGGTGACCCCTGTGAAAGGGTCGTTTGACACCCCCTAAAGGGGTCAAGACCCACAGGATGAGAACCACTGGCATAGTGGGTTATGCACCGGGCTGCTAACTGCAGGGTCAGCAGTTCGACTCTACCAGCCGCTCCATGGGAGAAAGAGTGAGGTTCTCTCTCGTGTACAGATTTACAGCTGGAGTAGCCCCTGGGAGCAATTCTCCTCTGTGGTATGGGGTCACAATGCGCCAGAATCAACCCAATTGCAGCGGGTTTGGTTTGGGTTTAGGTCCTCCAAAGCCCCACCCATAAATTCAGGATGAGTGAATTCAGGTGCTGTGGGCAGCGGTCCCCCAACCTGAGCTAGCATTGGAAGCATGATCAGCGAGGGCAGCCGGCCAGCCCCCGTGGTCCCTAGTCTGCATTCTCTGCTGTTGCACAGCTCTGTGGAGGTGAAGAACAAACCCTAAACAGCCCCAGCTCAGGAATTCTTTGGGTCACAGTTGGCAGCAAGATACTTCGGAATTGCTGACCCACGACTTCTGTGTCTGCCCTTCCTTTGTCTCTCGACCCCTTGTCCCTTCACGGTGAATGCCGCCTCTTCACTTTCCACCCACGCGGGTCAGCGATGAATTTCTGGAGTGGTGGCAGGTTGCCAGCAGAGCCCACAGTGGGAGAGAAAGCCTCCAGCCTTGCGGGAAAGGAATGGTTTGTCATGACTCTCCTTTCCAGCGGGATCCTGGGCTTTCCACCCAGTTCTTCTCAGCCAGAATGCCCTTTCCCCCTGGGACTCCTGACCATCACCTTTATGCTTATGGCAGTGGGGGAGGGGGTATGAGGCACTTCAGAGGGGTCAGCACTGTACCGGGACAGGTGGCATCTCACAGAGGGCTGAGCATAGTACTGGGAACACCCACTGAGCACCGGGCACTTGGACTGGGCTCTGAGGATGCAGAAGAGGAGGAGCTAGATCCGAGCTTGTGCTCCTCCGCCGAGGCTGTGCCTGGTACCTGCAGCCTCAAGTCGATCGGAATGCCAGCAGATCTCCTACAGGATCATTCTGGTTTTTACTCCGTGGACTCTGAGCTTCTCTGATCCTGATCGGGATCTCTGGTCCCGATGCCCAGCGCTTTCTCCCAGGAGTCACTCGGCAGTTACAGGAAGGGGGTGGGGTTTTGTGTTAGTCCAGGAAGACTAGAGAAACAAATCCAGGGAGGTTCATATGTGTATAAGAAAGAGTTTTATATACAAGAGCAATTGAACATCCCAGTCCAGATCAAGTCTGTAAGTCTGATATTAGCCCATAAGTCCAATATCAATCTCTAAATTCCTCATCAGACTCACGCAACACATGCAATGATGCAACGCATGCAATGATGCTGAATGCAGGAAGATCACAGGCCAGTGGGTGGAAAGTCTTGTGGATCCAGTGGTGGTGTAATCATCTCAGTGCTGGCGGGGGTCTCTACGTGGCTCCTCTAGCTTAGGGCACTGGCGTAGCTCCATGCATCTTGTCAGCTGCAATGTCTTCCAGGCAGTGTGTCTGTGTCCCACCTCCAGTGAGCTATTTATCTCCGTGGTGCCTCCAAATGAGGTCATCAAGCTGTGACCTGATTGACAGGCTACACTCCAGCCCTTCGCTCTTAAGTCTCAAAATGACAACAGGTTAATCTCACTGGAGCTCTTCTCTGGGCTGCGGGACAAACGACCTCAAGATCTGACCTTGCTGCTCGACTGAACTTGTCTAAGGGAAGCATTACTGCCTCACAGGCTCAGCCAGGGGCCGGTGTCCAGCACTGTCACTCAGCGGCCATGTCTGTTCTCACTCTAAATGCCTGTAGGCCCCATTGTATCCTCTCCATGTGTGGGTCTCCGTTCCCCGATTCTTGCCCCGTCTCCGTAACCATCCTGCACAGTAAGGCCAGATCACTTTTGAATTGAAAACTCCCCTTTCACAACAGCTCTTTATGGCTTTAAACCGTCAAAGGACTCCCCTTCCCACATTCCTGGTGGAATCCAATTCAACTCCACCGAAGGGCTTGTAGGCCCTTCCTTAACTGAGCCCTGTGGTTCTCAATGGGAAGTGATTCCCCGCCCTCTTAGGGCATTTGGTGGTGCACTGGTACAACCCCGGGGGGTGCGCCTGTCATCTGAGGGCTGGGGTGGGCCAGTGGTATAATTTTCTTTTCATGTGGGAGACCCAGATTGAAGACTTGGCCAATGCACCTGAGGGCAGCCACTGCCTGTCTGTCAGGGAAGCCTTGCGTGTCGCGATGTGGAGGAGCAGGTTTCCACAAAGATTCCAGGCTTAGATGAACCAGGACGAAGAGCCTGGAAAATCAGCCAGTGAGAACTCTCTGGATCACTACAGATGATCAGAGGGATGGTACTGGACCAGGCAGGGTTTCCTTCCATTGAGCATGGGGGCCC